GCATAGTTACTTGATAAACCATGACTTACTCTTTTAGGCAAGTTCACTTTTATCTCTGGTTTCATGATTTATTAACAAAATTCACAGCTGTCATGTTTATCGTAATTAGCATATTTTTGTAACCCTCCTCTAATTGTACAATTTAATTTATGTGTCTGAATTTCATGAAATGAGAAGACAATATTCTATTCTAAATGGAAAACCAAGTTTAATGTCAATTTGATTACTTAAAAGGCAGTACTTGACAATTGAAATTGGTTGAAATTACACAAAAAGTCTTGGCTAGTTAGTGTGAAATGTATGCTGGGAAAATAGGTGTCCATTTTTCACATGGTATTTTATGGCGTCTGTAAGAAGAGGGATAAACTTCGCTGATTTACCATTTCAGGCATATGCAGTGGGTTTCAAATTCACGGTTTTATCATTTAGATAATGTGTTCTATGCTAAATTTTACATATTCAATGGGTTTTAATTTAGCGCATTTTCCAGTCAGCGAAATAAGCAAAATCCTTTTACAGTACTGTATTTGCTTTATAGTAATCACATACGCTTTACATGAATGACAGGCAAGTCTATGGTCAAAATAAGTCATATTGGAATGATACAGCAAACAATTAGTGTTCTCCCGCAAATTTAAACCACTGTGGTGTTAAAATTTTATAAGTATACTAATTTGCCTAACATTTGCAAAATTATTTGCATAGTTATTTAAAACCAAAATTGATGATGGCACTATCTATTGAAATCCAGTTTTGTCAAATACTAACTTACCAGTGACCCTTAGCGAAATGTTTGATACCATACATTGTATAAGGCTAAGCCTCTATCTGAAGTCCTCTCACTGATGTCATTTCTTGTATGTGAACGATTCCAACAAAACGGCCACTACTCCTATGTTATGTGACATTAGTTGTGTGTAGGGTCACTTTGATCATGCATTTGTGTCTAAAACAATAGTTTTGGTCAACTTTATGTGGTTAATTTTAAATTAAAAAATGTTCAAAATCCCAGCTATTGATGCTTTAAAAGAATAGTTGTGTTCTCACTGGGGAACTCGATCTGGATCCAAACAGAGTTTATCTTTGATGTTTGTATAGGGATTAACAGCAATGCGTTCATACCAAAACTGGGCTGTCGACTAGACCCAGTCGGCATATGCCGAAATCACACCCTCATTCAACGGAGTGGTAACAGTTTTTAATAAAAATGGCCGGCTACATGTCCGATCATTGGAATAGTCCAGCTGTCTTGTATTTAATGTTGTCAAGTTTGCTGATAAGTATAACGAATCGTCAAGCACGAGAGACAACGAAGAATCAGTCTACTTGCCGTGCGCTCACGTCAATATATCACTGAATGAAGAAATCAATTACAGCGTTATATGAATGCACGTGATGTCGTCGACTGAGATCTTCATTTGTACTTTTCATACAAGGAGCTGGCTTGCGAGCAACAACTGTCATTAGTACTGTATGGCAACGTACAAGGAATACTCATTGGCGGTTTGGGTACCAGTAAAATGCGTTCCAACACACAAAAGAGTTGGATCTGGGCTTTCTAAGCGGACCGAGATACGCAAAAACTAGGCATGTGCTGACTCACTCCTGACTATTCTCACACAGATTTCGGCACATGCCGAGGTTTAGCTCCATCTCGATCCGGATCGAGTTCGCCAGTGAGAAAGCAGGTACTGCCAGTACAAGTACAATGTAGTACATTGTACCATTATCAGTTTGACACAAAATGATAGACTGTGAAAGTGAGCCAGTGTCAAAGGAGAGGTTCACAGGTTCACAGACTGCAGTGGAGTTCCACACAGGTGATATTCATCGGCTAAGGCTTGTGATTGGTCAAGTAGTTTTCAATCACCGTTGAAACATTTTATAGAATGCGAATTTCATGCCTGAAACCAAGTGTAGTTGTCCAGGCAGATGGGATCTCACTGTTAGAAAAATTCACACGATTGGAAATAAATTGAGAAATAGCAAACATTTTCCATACACATACTAATGCAAATTTTACTAATTTGATTTTGATTTCTAATCATTTTTGGGAAAAATATCTCAATTTACTTAATTTCAATGATAATGAGAAAAAGAAAATACTTACAGGAGTGTGTAGCTGGTTGTTTGAAACCCCTCCCCCTTAAACTCAAATTGCCTACCTCTTTTCAGACAAACTATGGATATTTGACACCCCTTTCCAGACAGTAAGCATAAATGGTACCAAGGGAAAAGCAAGTGGACTCCAGGGGATAGACTTTGACGATCAAAATGAAGTTACAGAAAAAAAAAATCAGCTTCATTCTTCTGATTGTTGGATTACTCAAGCTCTAGAGACAGTCTTTCGAAAATATGGACCCCTTTTCAGACAGCAGTGGTTAATTTGGGACCCCTTTTGGCGGCACATATACATATAGCACTTCAATGTGAGTACCCCCTGGCGCCCGGGTTAACGTTTCTTTTTGCGTCTTTTCTTGTTGGTAAGTAAAATACATGGGGCTATGAACCACAGCTACAGGTCAGACTGTGAATGTCAATAGCCACGGTCCATCTATCTATAGAGGGACTGTGCGATAACCATGGAGGTAAAAAGAGTCTGTTTTAATACCTCCATGCAATAACCAATATTTAAATTGAATTTGAACCAACTTGTTAAAAGTTGCCAACAATAATGCTAAATTAAAAAAACAAAAAAACAAAAACAATAAATAATAACAATAATTGCAATGCACAACTTCGTCACACCAACATGTTTTTGTCAACAAACTGCCATTCAAATACAATCCCATTGCACATGTTCGTTATAGTAAGTAAACAAGACATCGTGTTAAAATGCCGGAACACGTGACTTACTCGGTGGCTGCTGATACGGAGATTGTCGCTAATGTATTTAATAGAGTAAGCCTGTAGTCTTTGCCATTTCAGGTCTCTTTTCAGCGCTAGGGCCATGGCTTCAATCCCATCAGGCTTGTCTAGGTTCATATCGCCGCTGATTTTGCCAAGGAAAACTTGCATATTTTTCAAACACGATTTCTCAGTTTCGTCTGTCATGTCTTTGTCGCTAAAAAACGAGGACAAAGTCGCCAACATCTGCGCCTCGCCGCCTCTACCTTTTCCATTCATAGCTGTCTTCTCTGAATTATTCGTCAAATAGATGAATTTCTAAGCAATTAGTTTGGTCTTGGGAGGAGTACGGTCCGATAAAAGAACGTGTACGTGAAGTATGGCGTCTGTATTTATCGCATAACCAGTCATTGAGGGCGCACCACCACAACATGCGTGACAACTGAAAAATGCCATAAATACTAACTGATAGGCCGGGCTAATAGGTCGAAATGTCTGGAATGTTACGTTTCATTTTTGGGCCAGAGTAATCAAATTCTGTGTTTTAATATCACGGCATGAGCAAGTTTAAGGCAAACAACAACCTGATATGTATTATTTACCCAAATCGCAAAAAAAATGACGCAATGTTCGTAGTCTAAACAAAAAATGAGATTGGTTCGAGCAGTTGAGATTTGTAGTTAAAAATGATAATTAAAAATAATAAGCTACCGTGGCCCATAACCACAATACACGCGATCTACTGTCATGTTTATTGCACAACTGGAGCAACTGAAAGAACAGTATTGTACTAAACTCGAAATTCTACTTTGTTTCAATCTGTTATTTATTACTGTAAAATACTTTATTTTCACTTGGAAATTAATTTTCGCTATTTTCATTGAAGGAATGATTCAGTGAAAATAAATACCAGCGTATATACATTTTTCCTATATTTTACATTCAACTTATCAAAAATCAATGAAAATAAATTCCACTCGAAACACCCAAAAAGTGTTTTCAGCGAAAAATTATTCTAGCTAAAATAAAGTATTTTACAGTATATCAGCAAAATATTAGTGTGACTTATCAATACAGTGTGCTACACACTCGTGCTATTTGAAACATTGAATGAGGATGACGGGTACCTTCCTGGGTAAATAATACATAGGGTCGTATTCTGTCACATTTTTTTTTAAATTTTAACTACTAGTATTCAATCACATTCTTAGCAATGAAGAATACCCTAACGCTTGGAACAACAACATGACTTCAATCCAAAAACTGGATCTAAGAAATCACAGAGGCATCTTTACCAGCAGTACCATAGAACAGATCTTTTAATGAAAGGATTGATACACAACTCGAGACTATCTACATGAATCTATTACATGATGTAAAACGAATATATAAAATTTGATCATAATCAGTCAAAACATATCAGAGATATGGCTCTAGAAGCGCATTCATTTAAATAAAATGGCCAACAGTCAGCCATTTTGAATCCGATCTGAAAAATAAAATGATGTGCATCAAGGTCCCATAATGTCAAATGTATGTACTAGGACCAAGTTTGAACAAAGGCCATCCATAAACAGTTCTGGAATGCCAGAAATGCTTGATTTTTGATGTTTTTTTTAGCACAAAAATGACTGCCATTTGGTCATTTTGAATTAGATAGTCAAACCAATATATCTATGTCATGATGTATGATGAATATATAAAATTTGAACATAATCGTCAAAGCATGTCAAAGATATGGCATTAGAACTGCATTTATTAAAACAAAATGGCTTCCAGTTGGCTATTTTATATCAGATCTGAAAAATAAAATGACATTTTAATGATTTTTTAGCACAAAAATGGCCACCATTCGGCCATCTTGAATGCATATGTATGATGTATGTGTGAAGTTTGATTGTGATTATAAGTACAGGCATGTCTAAGATACAGGTCTGGACACACGCACAGACGCACAAGGGTCAAAACATAAGTTCCTGTTTTCGGACTGCGTCTGAACGAAGACTAAATAAGCAAAAAAACAAACCAAAAATATTTACTAAAAATAGACACTTGCATATGGTATCATGAAATTAGCAAGTCCAAGTTTAGTCCATGTCAAGAACATTGACGCCAAATTTCAATGCAATCTGACAAGAAGTTGTTGAAAAAATCATTTTTGACCAAAATTGACAAAAATATTTCGTGAAAATAGAAATTTTGATGTGATGTCATGAAATAAACAAATCTCACAGAGGTACACCCAGATAGCTGTGAGATAAATAGCAAGGTGATCCAGCTTATGGTTTAGGAAATGAAACAGACTGAACAAAAAATTGACAGACGATGTCGACGGACAGGACCAGTCAACCCATGAACTTTGCTCGGTCATCTTCCATAACAGCAAAGCTAACAATTCAGTGCCAGGCAATAAAATACTATCCACAGATACAAAACAATAGACCAATGTGTCTCACATACCATGCTATAAAGGATATGGAACATGCTACAAACACACCTGGTAGGACAATCTTTTGCAGATCAAAGCAAAATACAAAATTGAGATCCAATCAATACCCAACAACTGTGTTTCAAAACAAAACAAAAGAATATTATCATAACCCGTCGATCAATGAAATAAACAGATCAGATTCCAAACTCAGAACTTTCAAACTCAGTCTTTTTAAACGATGAAATAAATGTTTCACGTATTTACAGCTACTTGATAAAGAAATTATATTGAATTATTAACTCAATTTTGACAAACTCGAAATAGAGAATAAATATTATTATTATACATCTGTCACCGTAACGTATGTTACAGCGTGCCGTAATTTTGCGGTATTTTACGGGGTATTTTCATCCTACCATATTAGGAAATGCTTATTCCAAATATGGAATGATTACGCGCGTAAGCGTCCTCTACTAATAAAAACAAACACGGCTGCCGTCGGGATTAGACCGGACTCAACACAAAGAAGTTCGCCGATTCTGTTCTAATTTTTTTGGATTTCGGCATTCCCATTCCCTCTGCCGTGCGTCGGTCAATACTCCAGCTGAACTGTCTTCGTGCATACTTTGAGGTATTATTATTATATCATAAAAAGTCATCTTATATAAAGAAGTTTCATGTCCTCCTGACTTTACAAGAGGGGAGGCAAGGGGGGTAGCTGGTACGGTTTTACGGGAAATAACAAGGGCTTTTCACAATTTACGAAGAAAAAAAGACGTTTTTACAGTTTACAGTGTTAACAAATGGAACATTGAATGGTCCGAAGAGCTCTCCGACTCAAATTCTCCACCATTGCTGCGCCGTGTGAAGAGAAGCATGCGCATATTACCCTCGTAATGCTCTTCATTCGGTTAGAGGGCCTTTTACGTCTTGACATTCAATTTTGTAGTGAATTGTGTCATCTAGTCGTTTTACAGTTTCTAAAATGTAATTTCCCTGATTACGATTTTTTTATTTGGATGTACGAGAAAAACGACACATTTTTACAGTGTACGAAAACAATATTTGATTGATTACGTTGTACGTCTAGCCTGTGATTACAGAATTACGGAATTTATTTTTTCTATTTACGTTGTACGAACAAAAAATATTGCAATTACGTTGAACGAAAATAACCCTTGCCCCCCCCCCCCTTCTTACAAAAATCCAACATCTTATGTCGCCCTCTAGAGTTGGTGCTTGAAAATACCTAAAGTTGACGTTAAAGCGCGGCAGTCGTCGCGCCGCGTCCTGTTCGATATGGGACTCATAGCGACGTATACAACGCATGTAATATACATTGTTTATTTACATGAAATTCGAACACGCGCTGCGCTACGACCACCGCGCTTTAAATACATAAAGTATCGTTGCTTGCCCGGGGTTGGGGGTGGGTGGGTGTGGGGTGGTTGATGAATGTGGTAGAGCTACACCATTCCAAGACCAACACCAGATGCACTTTTAGAGCCATTTTATAAGTGTTAATTGGAATAATAACCAAAAGAATTTTGAGCACATTACTCTTCAATTAGTGTTTAAATACAGTACTTGCATTTTCACAGATTAAATATTGGACTTAAATTTGCATTTCATTGTAGTGAAGTCATTACAAGTCTGATAGAAGACATTTATATTTTCATTATATTTGTATATCTTTTTCTCTGAAAGTGGTTGTCCTGGTAACCCGAAAAGCGTTATGCACGTTACTTGATTTTAGCTGAAATAAAATGCGTTTCAGACTCGCCTACCTTTTGGCAGAGTATCTACCATAATTTGATACTGCTCTCTAATTGGTCCAATTTTTAGGTGTTATGATTGGGCCAATCAGCAACAATTTTGTAAATGCATGTCACTTCACATTGACTTGAATTTGTTATTACTGTGAACATCAGCCATTTTATCGTGTGTGATAATCGCAACATCACATCCTCAATACTGCTAATTTATGTGGTATGCGATTCATATTCTTGAACTGAACGACACATTTAGGATCCAAACACAAGCGTTTCCTCAGTCTTTTAAATGGTAAAGGCGCATCACACAATGTAATCTCCCAATATCACCATATGTGGGCGCTCTTCATGACTAATTGATGAAAACAATTCTCAGGGGCGGACACCCAGGAATATCACCGCCTGGCAACCAACACATTGGAAACAAAAGTCGAAAACTCAGAAAACTTTACTTTGCGGTAGTTGAGACTCTCCTACACAGTGTAAGAAGATTACATGTGCAATATACATATATATATATATATAAATTTGGTTGCTTTTTGACGTTTTCTTTATTCAGCTGTTTTCACCCGTTCTTCGACCAACGTTCCAGAGCAGCTCACATGGAGCCCATAAAAATACAATTTATATGGCTGGCTCACTGTGACCATATTTATTGACCATTGATGCTTATGCATTTATTATACCGTAGATATATTAAGAAAACAAGCAGCCTATCAGCTGAGATAGCTCCGCTGTTAGCAATGCACATTGCAATTAAAGAACAGAAGATATCATTAGAAAATTAACAATATGCATAGTATCAATGCAATGGGACTTACTGTTTTTAACAGAAATTGAAAAATATCATTTTTCACCATAAATGATTGTGGTTTTCACCAAAAAATGACAAAAATATTCATCAAAATTAGAGAATTGAAGATATCATGAAATGAACAAATTTGAGAGTGGTTCACATGTAGTACCTATATATGTAATATCAAAGCAATTGGACTTGTGGTTTTTAACAAGAAGTCGAAAATATCACTTTTTACCAAAAATGACAAAAATATTCATCAAAATTAGAGAATTAAAGATATCATTACAAAATGAACAAATCTGAGAAAGGTCTACCCAAGGTACATATACACCAAGTATCAAAGCATTCAGGCTTGTAGTTTTCAAGAAGAAGTCGAAAAAGTAAAACATTGACACAAACGATGGGAGCCGGACGACGACGGACAAGACGGCAACTAAAATAAGATCACAAATGCTAAATGACAACAAACATCAGAAGTATTTTCAAAAACCAGTCCAGGTTTTTTTTTTATTTCATTTTGGTCACAAATTGAGAAATACTTTTAGAAGAGTATAGTAGCAGCATACTTTGTTTGAAAAACACACTCTGTTGAGATAACATTAATTTTCCTTTTTTTTTTAAAAAAAGAATTAAATAATTCTTACACATTTATTTCTCTACATATATACATAGATTAAAATATTCAGATTACTGGGCAACTGTCAAGTTTAATCCAGGGAACATGAATTAAATGATGCATAAAATTCCCTACCAGAGAACTGCTAGTTGAACACTTCTCTTAATTTAGAAGTTGACAAATAATTATTTGCGTAACATTTCTTGGTTGATTACAAATGACCCTTGAAGATTCATTGAAGATTCCTGAAATATAATTAAAAAAGCACCCTCACATTTGATATTTTATCCATAGAGGGCGCTCAACCACAAAATGAGCATTCACCTGCCAGTAAAAGTTTGTTAGACTCATCTTTATCAAACACACTGAATGCAAAGATACGTTGTCGGCAAATGGTGCTAGCGATTGTAACTATGCAAGTTCTCAAATAACTAATTCATGATTTGGAAGTGCCACAGCTGACTAATCAAACATGCCTCTTGGAATCAAAGGTAACTTTGAATGACAACAGTGACACTTCAAAGTCAGGGGAATTCACTAACTAGTTAAAAAGAAAACAATTGTGAAATGTTGTCCTTGCGAACGTCATTCAAGAAATCACAAAAGTTCCTAGAAGCAACAATTAATCGGTATAAAGCAATAAAATGAAAAAAGCGATTGTTTCCACACAAAAAAAAAAGATTTAAAAAAAAAATGACAGAAATTGCTAGCTCAAAACCATTTCTGTATCATGTGGTGATGACAAAATTCCAAACCAATAGGTATTATAATTGATTCACCATACATTAAGCAATACCAGAGGTACATTATTTTGGGTTTGCAAGTAGCGTGACATGATACCAAGATTCAAAGACTTCAATCTTGCTCTAGCATTATAAGCGTTCCCAACTCAGAAGAATGCAAATGTGCACGCCCAAGGTAACTAGGATACTGGGAGGTCAAGGTGGATCAAAATAATAATTTCTGAACATTTTCGATGTATTACATTTTTTTACTATGATAGTGGTGTGACATGTTTTATTGTTTTATTACAAACCTCGAACATTGATATATGTCATGTCAGAAGGTCGTAGCATCAGTCTCGCTATATACGAGATGAGACTTGAATGGGAACTTGACATGATGTCACCATTCAGTACTATGCCTATTGCAAACCCCAAGTAATGTACTTCTGATCATACCAGGAACTTAAATGCTTAAAATCTTTTTAAAAAAATCCTCAATAAACATTTTCTCTTACTAGTGCACACACAGTAAAACAAGGTATTCCAAAATACTGATGTTGCAGGGGTTAGATTTTAACCTAGAACTAGTAAAGTTGAATAATTTACCCATCCTCTCGAAGTTCATAATATTAGAATAACCCATCTTCTAAAAGTGGAACATACCATTTACAGCAAATAGGGTGAGCAAGGTATTTTTACAGGGATGTACATACAATACAATACAACAGATAAATACCCACACTTAAATATACCCATAATAATTATATTTTATAAGGGTTGCAATTTCACAATTATTTAAGAAATACAAGATAAAGTAGTATAAATCCTGTTGATAAAAAACACCTTTCTCAGTACCTTCTACCCCTCTATTTGAATAAAAAACTGTCATAAATTGTCATACAGTACTGAGGAAACAGACTTTTAAATGCTCATTTTAAAGCCAACAATGTCTTCCACCTGCTGTTGTTGATGCTGTTCATTTCTGATTTTCAAATAAGCAACTAATACCTAAGCAAAACCAGAACACAAAATTGAAATAAAGATCCTCTTGTCTGAAGGCTTCTGATTGGTCAAATGTACATCACACCTACACTTCTGCAAGCATATTTGTGATTGATTGCCCTTACTCATAAAATGTTTTGCTTGGACAAAACATTCATTCAAAAAGAGGCATAACAAATTAATTTAATTATGAGATATTTTGGCCTGAGACTTGTGACACCCTTTTTATACCAAAAATAATTCCAAAATACTTAGTTCTTCAATAAAAACATACAATAACCATGGCAATGGGAAGCCGATTTACAGCAAATAATGTACACAAACAAAAAAATACATACAAGTCTTAGAAGTGTGTCTAAAAAAACTGATTGATTGCTAAAATAAAAATTAAAAACCCATCCACTCAGAATATTGCTACAAAGTCCCTTTTATGGACATATACACACAAGGATTTCTTTACACACTTGATTTTTAAAAAAAATTCATCTGTCTCTAAGTTTGAAAAAAACAAACAAGCTTTATTTTCATGTAACACTTTTTTTTGCATTTTTTTTTTCTAGCACCTATAAAAATCAAAGATAACAAAAGTTTTCTTCACCAATACAATACTAAGCTGGGGAAAACCTGACAATTTGAACGTGAACCATGTTGGTATGCCTCACTAACAAACAGCGGTAGGTAATTTCCCGTTCACATTCGAGATCTCGCACGTCTGCCACAGAAATCGAACAATATGATTTTGAAGTCGAATTTCTTTATTTTGTAGCTCACATCTAAAGGCCAATCTTTGACAGGGGAATATTGCGTTTGAATACCATTACTTCATCGAAACTGACCATCATCGAATGTGCACAGCACTTTATTAAGCATAGAAATATCCCCAATAATACTTTCGCGATTGTCGAATACCACTAGATGTTTGAATACCACCTTTGTTTGCTCTGTTTTTACGTTTGATTTCATTAATAATAACGTTGGATCTCACAGTGAATGGGAAATGGTCTATTGTATGACATGCTTCGCAGATTTGGCCATTTTAAAAAAAAACACATTGATTTGAATGATGACATAACTGATTGCAACTTAGTGTCACATGCACCTGTAAGATATACACTGCTTCCAAACGAGGAAAGTTCAGGATATGAACAATCACGACATTCTTATCGCCCACATCTCGCTGTCATGGAGGTCACATGACAAATTTTAAGCCAATCAACACTCCAATATAGCAGCCAATCAGCACATCCATAGCAGCAGAATTATTTCAAAGCTTATCAGAACTTCTGTAACAGCATAATAATTTAAGCCAATCAGCTCTTCTGTAACAGCATTATAATTTAAGCCAATCAGCAGTTCTGTAACAGCATAATAATTTGAGCCAATCAGCACTTCTGTAACAGCAAAATAATTAAAACCTGCACTTCTGTACAGAGTAGCAAGATTCCTTTCCATAAGTTCATTGTTTTCCTTGCAGCAGACAGAACAAAGGCAGAATAACTGAGGATGTCCTCATATAGTTTGTTGCAGTAACAGACATGATATGGGGATGCAGCTGGGCTCCACAAGACTATGTCAAAATGACACTAGCGAGAAGTACTATCATAAAAAAATATCCAGACGGTTGCTAAATTTAAATAATAAATAGTTCTGTACAAGATAAATTACATCTCTAAGATCCTGGGCAGATTTACGGCGCTTTCCTGTTGAAGAAAATAAAAAAATATCAATATCACACATATATATTTGTGGATTAGTAATACCATATGCTAAGTTATGTTATATATAAATTAATATTATAGAATATGGTAGGACCATGAATCATCTAATATGCAAATGCATCAACTATGTAAATTTATTTCTAAATAAGGAAACTAATATGCAAATGACTTCTATACAAGGCATAAACTATGTAAATGATTCCTATATTAGGCATACACTATGCAAATGATTTCTATATAAGGCATAAACTATGTAAATGATTCCTATATAAGGCATGATACTTACTTCATGAGACTGTCTTGGTGTGCTAGGAATTGTTGCTGTAGATGTGAAAACCTATGCTGCTCCATTATCTGCCGTTGTATAGCCTCATGATGTATTTGTTGGGCTAAAGCATCGCCATATGGATGATTAACCAACGTTGGCCGCACACCGGCTAATGCTGGATCATTCGCTGGGTGCCCTGGTGGGAATGGACCACCACCTCCACCACCACCAGCTAAAGGATGTGGTCCCATTACCGGATGTTCATGGTATCCGGGACTGAGATGTGGATTCTGCTCTGATGGATGCAAATGTAGGTGCGTATGGGAATGTGTGTGTTGATGCTGATGACCGCTGATTGACGCTAACTGTATGCGTGTAACCGCATCCACCGGGACTCCCCCTAGTCTTTCAGCTTGCATTCGTTCCATTGTTAGTCTTTCCATTTGCCCTGTGAATGGAGCTTCACCAGGATGAGGATGACCAGGAAGGGCTACATGCAGCCTGTCCATTGGTCGCTCGCCATGCCTTTCATGTTGATGATGAGGCAAGTGAAACGGTGTGGGATGTGGAGTTCTATCCCCGTGCATACCATGGCGATTTAGCAACCAATGCCTATCCATGGGTGTTAAGTGTCCACCTAGGGGGTCTAATTTCATTTTGTCCCTGAGTTCACGTTCGCGTAACTCACGCTCTATAAGCTCCCGTTCCCGGAATTCTCGTTCACGCAACTCCCGTTCAATTTCCATGTCAGCTCGTTCCCTTGCTCCAATCGGGTACATCCCGGGAATTCCATGCATCACGCCGTAGCGCAACATTGGATCTGGACCAGTCAAGCATGCTAATGTTTGAGGTGTAGGGTTACGAGGTGACATTGCATGTGGTCGTGCATACTCGCTCAATGTACGTAGAGCCGGAGTGTCATATCCGTGTGGCATATGATGGTGGTGATGAGGATGTGGTGGTGCTCCTGGTGATATATATGCACCTGCAGGACCGTGTCCATGTTGTATACCGTAAGGACCGGTAATTTGGGCATCAGCTGATGTATTCGCTGGTGGCGTCTCAGGCTTTTTCTGAAGAAATAGACCGCAAGATATATATCGAATTAGTATCGAAATAAACATATTTTTCTGAGAACATATTAACTCCAGTTTTTCATATAAAAAAGACTTCTATTATCAATCATCTTGATTATACCTTTGAAAACAAGCAGCCTCTCGGCTGAGATAGCTCCGCTGTTAGCAATGCACATTTCAATTAAAGAACAGAAGATATCATTAGAAAATGAACAATATGCATAGTATCAATGCAATGGGACTTGCTGTTTTCAACAAGAATTCAAAAATATAATTTTTAACCATAAATGATTGTGGTTTTTAACAAGAAAAAAATATCACTTTTTACCACAAATGACAAAAATATTCATCAAAATTAGAGAATCGGAGATATCATCGTGAAATGAACAAATTTGAGAGTGGTCCATATGTAGTATCTATATATGTAATATCAAAGCAATTGGACTTGTCGTTTTTAACAAGAAGTCGAAAATATCACTTTTTACCAAAAATGACAAAAATATTCACCAAAATTAGAGAATTGAAGATATGATCATGAAATGAACAAATCTGAGAGAAGTTTACCCAAGGTACATATTCACCAAGTATGAAAGCATTCAGGCTTGTAGTTTTCAAGAAGAAGTCGAAAAAGTAAAACATTGACACGGACAACGCCGGACAATCACTCATATGATAAGCTCCGCTCGACAAAGTCGACAGCGGAGCTAAAAACATTATAAAAATATAATAATTCATCTTTGAATCAATAAATACGGTAATTGAAAGGATGATCATGCCAACATCTTTCAGATGTGAAAAAAAATTCTATAACCCACCACATGTTTCTCTGCCCTCTCTTCCCTTTCTCGTTTCCTTTCTTTTTCTCGTTCGGCTTCTTCCAACGCTTCACGTTTGATCGTCTTTTCTTTCTCCAAGCGCTCTGCTTCTCTTTCTTTTTCACGCTGTCTTTCACGCTCAAGACGTAGTTTCTCCTTGACTTCAGCTCGCTTTTTGGCTAGTCTGGATTCTTCAAGTGGTACGAATATAAAGTCGGTTCGGGCACACGAATTGTAACCTCTGTTCCAATGCTTGATGAATCTGAAAGATTGTCAAATAATTATTCTATAAATAAAAAAAAACATTTCCAATAATATGGTGCAGAATTTTTGCTACAAAATGTCAAATTATATCTTTTGTATTTATTTTTTGGAAAGAGTGTCCAATTTAGTTGAATTCATCTACTTGGGTGCCATAACTTTTTCTCCCACCATAATTGTGTTGCATTATCTATTTTTAATTTTATTATATATTTTTTAATAATTTTGAAACAAATAGACACAATTAGCTAGATTGAGTTCAAATTTAAAAAAGAAAAAAAAAACAAAAAAAAATGTAGGTTTTATTGTGTTAATGTTAACTTTGGCACTTGAAAGGTCAATAGGTGTAATAAATGTCAAATTGGAACCAACAAATTTGATGAGATAAGGGGATCAGAAGAAATGTCAAAACATTGAAGCACTGAAATTAAGAAATATCGTAACTGCAAATGGTGTACAACTATTGCAAGATTTATTTACAACTGCTGTGACATTGTAATAGTTACTTGAGTCTTTGTTCATGAGCAAAATTTTTATGCGATTTACAATTATTTATATATTAATTGACTTTACACTGACTCCAATAGTAGACGGCAGTACCTGGTCTCAACACTACAAAAACAATTACAACAATTCATTGCAAAACAAAACAAGGTACCGGTAACGCAGGTCATCAATATTGGATTTGTGTACTGCATAAAGGTTGTGTCTGTTCTTTTGTAAGTGTAAGTTACTGACTGATTAATACCACAAATTAACAAACACACTTTTTTGTCCTTTCCCATTATCTCCTGTAGAAAGCAAAATTCTCACCTTGCAGTTTCACTAGAATGTATTGGTACATCCACCACCACTGGTTCTGGTGATGGTTCCCTGTTTCCAATTATTTCTTCCAACTCCTCGTCGTCACCACTGCAGTTATCGTTATCTAAATGTTCTAACAATTCCGGACTCTTGACTGGTGAGTTCACCCGAGGTGGCAGTTGTGGAACTGGTTTATGCAAAGGTGGTGGTTGCGGCGGTGGAGGTTCATGCAGAGGTGATGGAGGCTCACGCAGCATTGGCGACTCATGTAGTGGAGGAGGAGGACCGTAACTCGGCCGGAGGGCAGGCATTGGAGGTATTGCCGCAGAGGTTGGCACTGGTGCAATCACCGACGTTGCAACAGCAGTTATCGGTGGAGGCACCGGCGGTAAAGTGTCAGTTATCTGCGGTGGTGGTGGCGGCAATGGCACAGGTTGCACAATTGGCTGAACTGGGACGATACATGGAATACTATCCTCTATAGTGTCTCTACGCACATCCTCTGATTGTTGTTCAGATTGGGAATGTTCGATCGGTTGTTCAGATTCTGGTTCACTTTCATTGTCATTATCATTATCATTATCAGGAGAAGGTGAGCACACGGATGATGCACTTGTAAGTCCATCGTTATCAATATCCTGGGCCGTATTGCTGGCAGATTCCTCATTCACAGTGCTACTACTGTCTGTACTTGCTCCATGATCCGAAGGAGTCTCTGACCGTTCGACTGAATTCTATAAACAAAAACAAAAAAACATTTACTACCATCATGCATTACACTGAGCTTATCTGGACCTACAAGTTCCCGATCAGTGGAGACTCCCATCATGCATCATAATGAAGTAACCTGTATCCAAGGTAACTTACCAGAGTTTTAGTTTTCTTGATAATAACCCCGGAATCAGATTCAATATCATCTTTATAATCATCTTTATAATTAATTTCTTCTTTTTCTCGAAGTCTTTTTGTACTTTCTTTTATCAAATCATCTGCTTCCTTCTTGAAATTCTTCTGAAATATCAACAGAGCATTATATTATAATATGTTTCTGGAGTAAAAATTTACTTATAACATTACAATGCAATTATGATAAAATTATCATAACGTAAAGTTTGTGGCAACTGTGCTGTATGTATGTACCACTTTCGCTCTATTAAAAAGAAGCGCATCTCCAATAAGTACATATAAACCTAAAATCGCATGTTGTATATTGAATCATTAAATTAATACCATACCATAATAATACAATACACACAAGAATATGTGCTACTAATAGAGCATATATGGTATGCATTAACAGGAATCGAAATCCCCTGGTGCACATAAATTATTAGCTAGTGCAAGTAAACTCAAAATATAATGTGCACGCTGTGCATGTAGAATTTAACACAACATTTTCTCATTATATTCACTAAGCCTAAATTAAGTTCAAACAATATTGTAAGACAACTCAAAAATCAATCAAGAACCCGTTAATTTTATTAAAACTTCAAAAGTGGTGCATTTCACAACAAGTTAGTCCTGGAAAATTTCTAATTCAACATGCACACTATGCATGCAAGGAAAAATTTCTATTTCAATCCCTGATTAAATAGCTGCAATGTCGGTGTATGATAGGAAGATGGTAACACAGGTCTGTCACGTTGTACAAAACATGGACTATGTCCCTGTCACGTTATACAAAACATGGACTATGTCCCTGTCACGTTGTACAAAACATGAACTATGTCCCTGTCACGTTGTACAAAACATGGACTATGTCCCTGTCACGTTGTACAAAATATGGACTATGTCCTTGTCACATTGTACAAAATATGGACTATGTCCCTGTCTCATTGTACAAAACATAGAAAAGGTTTAATATGCACCATCAGTACTGTTTGCATATAACAACTAGTCAGGAAAATCAACACATTGAATGTCCAGAAGCCTCAACAACCCCATGTCAAAAGATGATTTACCTTCTTTCTGCCTCTTCCACTGGACTTAGTACTGCTGTCACTTGATGTACTGAATGCACTGGGTGAATTGCGATTACTACCACGTGATAACCGTCGTGAATGTACAGGACTTGAAGGTTCGCTACTATATTTACTTCGACCACTTCGAAGAGTAGAGTTTACCTACAAAAATTGTTTAGCACATTTCATGATCAATGTGATAATGTGATGAACATAGCAATGCATTATGGGATATGCACGGATATTTGTACATGACAGTGAAGCTTGTTGAGTATTAAGCAGTGATAAATACTCATAACCAATCATCTAACACTTGTTGAAGTCACATGACCAACTCAGCCCAATCAGCATCTGCTATTTCTATTATTTAGTTATGATCACTATTAGCCAATCCCATTGGAAGCATTCACATCATATGATTCAAAAACCTCATACTTACAGAATCTCTATTTCTTCTCGTTCTCATTTTCGGTTTAATTTCGTCGCTGTCATTTTCTCTAACAGGTTTGAACATAAATGGAGGTGGACTACGTGGATTGTCTATTGGTCGTTCTTCCCCGTACTTCTTGAAAAATATACGACAGTCAGTACAGAGTAGGATTTTATCTTTCCCACCGTGATGCCAGTCTTTGGATGCTGTGAGACGAGAATCAGATTACAAGTTGAATGAATGTTGCAGGAAGCAGTGATTATCAGCTCAGCTTGACAACTCAGTTTATCAACTTTAAATAACTACAAACTGATAAAACTGACATAAATCTATCAAAGTGATTTTGTTCATGCTGTGTTTTATTTGTTATCTATTGAAGTAAAAATGAAGAAGCACAAGCCCTCAAGTGTGAACTATTATACTCCTAAAGAAGCATTTTTCAAACATTTTTTACCCATAATCAGTGAACACTAATCGCTGAGATTTGCATACGAAATAAGAACTGACATCACTTATTTTTATCAGCTCAGCATGGAATTCTCAGAAATGAACAGGAAGGTAGAAATTATTACAGATGCTATCTGGATTTTATTACATTTCATGGGGTTAATCAACTTTGGAAGATACATTTTTCCTTTGGCGATAATCTCAGGAATATATTGAAGGGTGGGGCAATTAGCATGTGCTATTGCCCTCAAAACCAGTCAATAGGTTTATTAGTGTACATACATGTGGTATAACAATGTCTACAAGCATAGCCGCTTAGATCCTTCTCACTGTCTTCACTGTCTATCTCCTCTTCACTTGCAGAACTCAGATCCACTGAAAAAAAAAAAAAAAAAAACTAACTTGAGTGAGTAAATAAATAAATTGAACGCTTGCTGAGAGAAAGTCATCACAATTATGAGCAAAGTTTTGCCCACACAAAAAAATACATAAAAATCTACATCTCCCTAAATGTCTATTACAAAGTGTTAAAAATAAGCTTCATCCAACAATCATCTTAACCTTTTCACCACCAGTTCCCTATTTTCATCACAAATTCAGAAAATAGTCCTGTTTATAATTTACTTTCTTACGAAGATCTGGAAAAAAATAGTCAAACTTTTTAAGTAAAAATTGCAAATTGATTCAAATTTTGTCTGCTGCAAAATTAGGGCTTATTTCTAGAAATATGAAAGAAAAAAAAAATGCAGACAAAATTGGGTGAGAAAGTTTGGTGAAAAAAAACGGTTAATTAATAACTGGTAGAGGGCAGGATAACAGATTCAAACAGCCATTTCCACTGATAACTGATAGAGGGCGGTATAACTAATTCCTACAATTCATAGTGCAAGCATAAAGTTACAAGACAAACATTTTCACATTGCTGAGAACTACCAGGCTGCGAAGATCTCAAAATATTAACTACTCTATCAAAAACATCAGTTTTGTAAATGAGATCAGTCTCAACACAGGCAGCATTTATAGATATCTATCAAAATGTTAGCATTTCTAAAGATAAACATTTACTGATAGTTTATCTCCAAACCACTTCAATATTTACAATCAGCCTACTGTAGAATTCTTTATTTTCGCTTGGAATAAGTTTAGACTATTTTAGCTGAAGGAATGATTCAGTGAAATAAAATGCGGCGATAATACCTTTTTTCCTATATTTTACATTCAACTCGTCAAAAATCAGTGAAAATAAATTTCATACTTAAGAAGTATTTTCAGCGAAAATTAATTCCAGCTAAAATAAAATATTTTAATAAAAATAAATAGTAATAAAAAATATTCGTGTTGCTTTGAATTTAGCAAAGTTACAAACAGTTGATAAATATTTTCCCCATTCTCAAATAGCATGTAATGATAATATTGTTTTCAGCGTAAATTTTCTCATTGTTTACGAAAACAAACTTGTCTGGTTCATGAATCCTATAATTATCCTCGTCATAACTTCAGTCGAACAATTTGTCAATATTTATGACTTTTTCTACAATTTATTTGTTTTACTTTCAACCAAAGGGTCGTAATGCCCAGATATTAGATCAATGTTTAGTTTGAAAATTGTTATAAACACAATTTTGCAAAAGACAAATTTCTGCACAATGGTCGGGGGAGATATATTGGTCGGGGGAGAGTACCTCATAGATATGCAAATGCAAATTCAACTTTAAATCATCAGAAGAAACCAGCACAGACTTTTCTAAAATTTTGTTTTTTGTAAGCACCCACATTTTATAAGCATAATTGTACCAGTTTTACAGTAACTAAGATGTTTAAAATATATAAGAAAGAGTGAGCTGCTTTGTAGAAACTTTAAGATATGGAAAAGTTAATAGCAAAAACAAGTAAAGATAAAAACATAGTACAGTGACACTATACCATTAACCTTTTCACCACAGGACTTTCTCGCCCAAACTTTTTTCCTTATATTCTTCAATATTTCGGGAAATTTTGAAACCAACTGACAAAATTTGGCTATTTTCAGTTTTTACTCAAAAAAATTGGTTATTTTTAGTTTTTACTCAAAAAATTTAGCTATTTTGTCCCAACCTTCTGAAGGAAAGTGCATACTATAAATGGGACTATTTTGTGAATTTGTGATGAAAAGAGGAAACTGGTGGTAAAAAGGTTAATATTCTATTGACATACAGATACACATCATCAAATTACAGTTATTACAACAACTATTACTATGTCAACTGTTACTATGTCCTGGTTATTTAAAAGACAAAAACACGCAGACACTTACAAAATTCAGAGCTGGCAGGTCGACTGGAACGAGCTCCAGGTCGTATCCTTCGAAGAACGTTTTGACGACGATGTCTCCGATGGGGCCGCTGGTTGGCTGCTTCTGGCGTTTTCTTCCAATAATAATAGTATTCGACAAGATCACTCTAAAAGAAAAATTACAAGAAATGAAACATTTTTGTAAGTAATTCTCAAGAAATTAATGAAGTAAATACCGATAATAGATTTTTTTTTGAGACATTGCCATGCTGATAAAACAAGGATATTATTATGACAAGAAATCCATAAAACGACACTGAAAGTTTGGCAATGAAGTACACTCTTAACTATCAACCAATGACTAAAAAGCTAATTTTCCTTAGTTCTGTCGTCCTAGGTGATCCGAATATTATATTTGCTCTATTAGAAATGTACGTTCAACAGACACACATGTGAACAGAATTGACAGTGGATCATTAAAAAATGACTCGTTTACATGAGCGCAAGTGCTAATAATAGAGCAAAAAAACAGTAGTACCTACATTTAACGTTTTGTAGAGCGAAACAAGAGGAATACAATCAAAGACAGAAAATTTAATATAAAGCCAATCTAAGATTATATACACAATGCAATATTGGTGTACTGTAACACGTTCGGTTGGGATCAAAGTTCAACTTCAACCTGGGGCTAAACACCATGAAGGATTGACTTGTACATTAGATGACTGTGCCACAGGCTACTTAAGCGCATTAAACAGTCACCACTTATGAAAAGAAGGTCGTACGACCGTAAGTCATGTAATAGTCCCAAACATGGAACATGGTTTTATGAAAAAATTCCCTGTTTCAGATGTCATTCAATATCCAGAGTTATTTTCCGGCACAACAATATTTAAAGTAAGAAAATATCTTGAATTCATTCCATAGGAATGTAATGGTCAACAGGAAAACATGTAACAGACATATGAAACCTATGTAATAGCCTGCGTCTAAAAGAATAAGCGTCCATAGATATGAACAAGTGAAAGACCCCAAAGTAAAATAATGTCTTGCACGGCCACGGTTCAGTCAGTAAACCTCTTTACAAGCAATAAGCATTAATCTCACCAGAAAAAAAAATCCAAGGAAACGTATCAGGTAGCCAGTGATGTAATAAGGTACGTCTCTGCAAGTAACTACGCAGACCGATTTTGACAACAGCCATTTTGTTTATCAAGAAAAAAAGACATAAAAATACCAGCCTTGAAGTAAAAGGGTATATTGTATAAAATTTTATTAAGTTATTATTGTCACTAGAATTTACGGCATTAGGTTGTAATAAGTAGATGTCAACAACCTTCCCTACTTGTAATGAGCAAGTGAATGCCGTGTACTCGTAAAAATGCAACCATTGGGAAGAAAACAATCACTTTTATTTGTGTTCAACTGAATATAAAACACTCAACTACTTTCACTGGAAACTAAATCGGTGTTTGCGGCTTTTGTGCTTGATGTTATAAATTATTAATTAAAATTAATAGTTCTTGATAAAGTGTGTATGTAACAACAACTTTGATTGGTTGATGCAGGTGGGAGCAGGCCACTGTTGGCCAATCGCTTAAAAAGTTACTTTTCGTCAGGGTGAAGTGGTGATTAGTGTGGACCTGTATTATAGTAACTTGACCCAAATCATGTAAGTTTCATAAAAGTTATCTAAAAGCCAAGCAAGTGGAGAGAATGTGGGTCTGGCTCATAAACACTGTGATGACCAAGTCATAATACTAAAGTGACAAACAGGAAACCACATGATTATTTGAGATAACGCAATCAGACAGTCCAGCAATATGGCCATACATACATGTACACATACATGGTATTCAAACAAATGCATGGTTGGGTAAGGTACTGAGAGCTCATTTTAACACAATTTATACATGAATCTGTTAATCCAACATCCTTTAATGCGAGTTTAGCCCAGAGAATCACCATAACTACCACATGTGTTAGATCAGAAGAGCAGTACATAAAAACCATTTCTTAATTAGGTTAAAAAAAATGAATCTTTATCTGAAATACAAGAAAACCACTTTTCTGTTTGTATAGCAGTGCTGGTTTTAATAAATAATTTTTTTTTTGTGACAGGGCATTTGACAACAGATATCTAATATCTGGAAACATATATACCATATTTGGTAATAAATATCCCATATTCAGCGATAGATGTACCATATTTGACAACAGATATCTAATATCTGGGAACATATATACCATATTTGGTAATAAATATCCCATATTCAGCGATGGATGTACCATATTTGACAACAGATATCTAATATCTGGAAACATATATACCATATTTGGTAATAAATATCCCATATTCAGCAATAGATGTACCATATTTGACAACAGATATCTAATATCTGGAAACATATATACCATATTTGGTAATAAATATCCCATATTCAGCGATAGATATACCATATTTGACAACAGATATCTAATATCTGGGAACATATATACCATATTTGGTAATAAATATCCCATATTCGAATTGACTCCTCATATTTGGCAACAGATGTCCCGTCTCATTATTTTTCAGGAGTTTGCATAGAATCGATCACAATTTCCTTGAAAAAAAACTATAGTATAGAGAAGAAAAAAATTGAAATTGTAATCAAGGTGATTGATTACCAACTAAAATATCATGATAAGAAAAACAAATAAATTCTTTTTTTTTTTAATTTTAAAATATCTTCTTTGTTTTTTATGTGAGCCAATAAAGTCACAGACAGCAACATAATGAAAGTTAATGGTGCCAATAAACACGACCAACCAGACTAGAGTCAAAATATCATCTGCGACACATCAATCATAGCAGACACTGCAGTGGTGAGTCAACCAACACACGCACACACACACGCACGCACATACAGCATTAAATACACAAGGTCTTGGGAATATTATTTTGAACTTTGTTTACTCGAATACAGGCTCTAGAAATACCGTATTGGCTCTATTAGTAGCGCATGCACATTACATAATTGACAGAGGTGTTCAAAATAAAAAAATATTTTATAGATCAAGCACTTTTTGTTTGAGTGCAGTTTTAATTACCGGGGTAGAAATGTGCCTGTACTACAGCAATTATTTTTGACAGTTGATTTTAAGCACAAATACTGACCAAATCAGTCCACTTTAAGGCCAAAATCACAAATCAACGCTTTTTCTTATTTAGGAAAATATTTTAAAAAATTATACAGGTATTATTTTGTGGATGGAGACAAAACTAACAGAAAAAATGTTTTTAGGGTGATATTAATATGTCTAGTTATATGTCGGTTTCTGTGAGATATCATCATAACGATACTAATCCTTAGGGATTTTTAAAAACATCGTTAATAATTCACAATATCCTGAAAATACATTCCAATTGGTGTAGATATCAACCAGGAGAAATTGACAGCGCCGTTAAATATTGCAGTTTATGAACAAGAGGTCATTCTGAAGTATTGTATCTCTCTCTCTCTCTCTCTGCACAAGAACCCAAATATCAAATTACTCATGAAAATAATATTTATTGGCAGAGAAATTGGATACATACGCCGCCGTTAAACCAAGATTTGCGAATTGTCGATTTTGTATGAATAATTAATTAGGTAAATTTATAATACATTCGTAGATGAATTATTTGATTAAAAGCTCATTTGAGTGTAAATGACTGAACACAGCAACACAGTCGGCATATCGGTTTCATGATATCCACGGATTGTAATCTTCTTATGATGGTTTGAAGTCATATTGGCGCCATCAAAATTTGATTTATTCTTTCCTGAAGTATAATAGTACTTCTATATTTTAATATTTTTGTATACATACTCTGGTTGGTTAATACATTTATTCCTATACTGTAATGCAGCACTTACAAAGACATCAGCGTGACGGGTATGAACAACAGATGTCCCATATTCGTGACATCCCGTTATTAAAATTTTAAAATACCGGTAGTGTATGGGCATTAATAAAAGAAACAGCATTATTATGAATATATAGTTGGAACAAACAAACATCCAAAATATCAGTAAAATTTAACAAGCATTAAAAAATGTATTGGATATACAAACAATGTAACATCTGATTCGTGTATGTCTGGTTTCTGAAAATGATCAGCCAAGTGAGGGCACATGTATATTGCGTAAATATAGCATTGATAACTGTTTAACCAACCAGTATTTATTATGCATAATTAATTAATGTCTGTCTTAATTCAGTTTTTTCATCATTAGTAAGAATTTGATCAAACAGACACTACATGATTTATAATGGGAAGTTCATTTCTGGGAATAATTGCCTATCACTGGTTATTAATTTAAAATAGTGATAAAATCATGTAAAAGAGGTATTTTTTAATTCTCGGTTGTTGAAACAATTGTGTAATGAGCATTTTTTTTGGTGTTTTATTATAGTTGTTTTCGTTTTTACAACATTTTGACAGAACCCAGTCACTAAAATGAAATTAACACTGATGCAAGTCAATCACAAACAAATCTTTTCTATTTAAGCCTTAATAACGGCTTGAGACCTACAAATCAGGAAGGTAGCTACCATAACCATTACGAGATTACAAATTTTAAAAACACGCATTCATTTAGTTAGATTTTAGTCTAACTGGGAGAAAAGATAATTTAATACTGAATACTACTTATGGGGTAGACCATGCAATTGGGTGTGGAGTGTATAACAGCTCGAGCATAGTACTCCCACTGTTTTTATTATTATTATGAAATGTTGATCTAGAGAGGTCACTTTTAAGAAGACTCACACATTAAACTACAAACACATAGCGTCTGCCACCATCACAGCACAGCAAAGACCTGACCTGACATGTAGCCATCAATGCTGTATTCTGTCCACAAATGTTACCGATCGTTGAGCGGTTAAAAAACATAAATCCTCTTTGCAAATAAATCCATGCAGATTTCATATGTCACCATAGAAACTAATACTAATTACTTAAAATGTTCCCTGCAATCCTTTCGTATGTAACGCTTTGTTGGAAACACAATTTTATTTCGAGACTTTAAAATCCCTCATAGATATATAATGTCACTCTTTTCATTTGTCAATTTAGCATGAGAGAAGTTTAACCACATCTGTTTTGACGACACATGTGCACATATGATAAAAGAAG